ACGATGGACGACGTGGGAATACTTTTAGATATTAAGTTAGATTTTAATTTTTAAAGCGTGTTTTAATTGTTTTATCTTTTTCGTTTAATCTTTTCTCTGTTTCAGAGTTTTCAACGTTTAAAACTCATCCCAACACATCGATACATCGTCGTGGGATCGTCGTGGGACTCGCGTTTAGTTTTAAGCTAGTTTTAAGCATTAGTTTTAACTATATAATAACCATAAGATAGATAATCGAGTGCAAAGATACGCCTCCTCCTTGCTTAGACGGCGAGCAGTAATCTTTCTCGACTTTTATCGTCCCAATTATCGTTCGCTCGAATGTTCTTTCTTCTCATCTCTTCTCTCTTTCCCTCTTCTTCGTTTCGAGCCGTGGTCGGCCGACTGTCGCGCCACGGTGGCAGGTGTCGTTGGTCGGGCGCTCTGCTCCCGGTGACCGGCCGAGGGTCCGCGCTTCGATCGATTGGTGTCCCCTATCGGGACACTCGATCCGGAGTTAGGCCTCGCAGTGGGACGCCGTCCTCGTAAATCGGCTCCGGTGGTCGGGGATCTAGCATCCCTTGCTCCTTCCTGTGTCGTTGGGACACGAGGCGTGCCGCTGTTCGGCCGATGTCGTAACCCTCTGTCGGTCACGACTGGCGAGCATCGTCCGATCCAGCGATTTCCGTAAGTCGATCGCGGTAAGCCGCGACACGAGGCTCGTCCACGGCTTCGAATTTTTTTTTTTCGAGTTTCCTCCTCTTTTCTCTCCTCTTCTTTTTTTCGAGTTCTCTTCTTTTTCCTCACCTCGGCTTCGATATTCGTTTTTTCTTTCTTTCTTTCTTTCTTTCTTCTCGAAGGTGTTCGATCTTTATTCGTCTCAAAGGTTTTTTTTTTCTTGTCTCGAGAGGCGTATCTTTGACACGAATTGCGTATCAGGTAGGATAGTTGAAACTAGGCGAATCGTAGATTTAAGATTTTAGTTGTTAAGATTTGTAAAGATTTTTGTAAAGATCGATGTAAAGATTTTTGTAAAGATCGATGTAAAGATATTTGTTAAGATCGATGTAAAGATTTTTGTGCATGCGAATTTATATTTTATTTTTATATATGTATGTAATTTTTCATGTTTCATTATTTATGTTTCTAATTTTAATTAATTTTAATTAATCTTTTTGTTCTGTCTTTTTTTTTTTCTTTTAGCTTTAGGTGGGTCTCGATGCGTAGTCACCTCCTCGCGGTGAGACCTGGTAATTGGTATCGATTTTTTTCTAAATAACTTTTCAAAGTTGAAAAAAATCGATACCAAGCCGAGAACTACGCGGTACCTATAGTCCAGTCTGATCTCTAACTCTAAAATCCCTTTTGGATATTTCAATCATGTAGACTGGACTACAGGTAGATCATTGTAATTATTATTGCCAATAAACAGTAACAAATACAAATACTAAAATTTTTTTTCCCTCTTTTTCCCTCGAAACGAACGAATATTAAAATATTTTCTAAAAAGAAAAAAAAAAAATGACGGACGATATCCAACGAAATCTTCGAGTGTGAGAACGAGTTCGAAAATAAATAAATAAATAAAAAAATAAATATCACGTCGAAGGGTGTGGAATATGTCGAAACGCGATCAACGCGAGAGAAAATGTTCGATTGCGTCCACGGCGATGATATATTACCGCAGCGTAGCTAAGACGATAATTATATGCTGGAAGCGTTGCCATTATCTAACCATAACTACTCCCACCTAGATTCCGCACAATGCGTCCGGAGTGGGACCTTTAAACGGTTATCGTTGCTCAATGCAGCCACCCGAGACCAGCCATGCGAGCGAGTGTTGCAACCCTGGCGCAACGAGCTGAATTGTCATTAATACTGAATTACAAAACGAGAATTTATTCAACTGCGTACGTAGAGATTTGAAATTCCGTTCCTGATGATTCGTCTCACGGACGCGAGAGATCATCTTCGAGATCATCTAGTTTCATCGTTCTTCGATATTCGAAGAATGAATAACGAACGAAATAACGGTTTCTTCGGTATTTGATTTTTTTTTTTCTGCCAATTATTCCGGTTAATATAACTGGTTAATAAATTTACAGAAATTTTTGAAATTCGTATGCGCGTGGCGAACCGAGCGAGTTATTACGGGAATGGATATACGCGCTTCGAGAAGATATTAAGTGTCGTTTTATCGACAGATTCGTAGAACGAGTATGTAGATAATAGTCACGAATAATGATGGATGGATATTCGAGTCTGAAAAAGGAATCAAAGTTTTCGAGACTAGAAAGATTCGAATTCACTTTGAATTCTAATTTTAGATTTCCTCGAAGCGATTGATAAGTCGTGCGAGATTTTCAAGAAATCGTATCTCGTATATACCGTTCTAATTCAAAGAGAATAACAGTACGTATCCACAAGATTGTTGCAAGATTTTCTTAGAATTATCAAACGATTTCCAAGAAATATCGGAGATCTGAATCTACTCGTGATGACCATTCTACTATCACGACAACTCTTAGAAAATTCGAATTCATCGATATTTGTTTTCGAAGGGAATCAAAGTAAAATTGCCAACATTCATCTTCGAGATAATACGAATTCTCAACACCGGTGGCGAGATGTCGCTGCGTGGAAGAGGTTAGAAACGATTGGTAGCTCGTTCAATTTAATTAACGACTTCCATAATCGAACCGGGCGATAATTTACAAGTTTCTTCGTGGAAATCAGCGGATAGAACGCGAAACTGCGATCACGCGTGAGCAAGAAAATAGCGGGAGGCGAGGGTAGAGGAGGAAGGTGGAAAAAGGCTACAGAACCAGTCACGTGCGACCATGCAACGTGCCGGCTGCACTTATGCTAGGTTCACGGCCTGCCTCTACTACCTTGCCACTAGTTGTGACATAATAGGATCTCGCCACTTCACCGGCTATTCTACGCTCGATTCAATCGTGGAGAAATCGTGGTAACTACTTCGAATCGACCAGTTTCGAATCTTTTCTGTTCAAAGAAATTGGCAAGTGATTTTTTTGCCGAAACGAAGGTTTTTAGGTTAGGATTTTAGATTTTCGTTCGATTGTTTTTTTTTTTAGTGTTGTAAAAAGATTCGATAATCGTTTGTGCGCGATATATGGATCGACAGTTCTAATTGGCTAGATAAAATTCTTTCGCGATTGCTTATAAAGAATAACATCTTATCTCTTCATTTTTTTCTTTCTCCTAGATATCTTGTGCTCGTGTGATTCGTTTAATATTCATTACATAATGATTCTTTTCTATTCCATATCTATTATATCTAATTAATAATTAATTCTATCTATTCTATAATCTATTTAATATATCAAAATGGAAAAGAACAATATCTTCGAGTTTCTTAATATAGTTTTATTCGATATACAGAATGTTTGTAAAAACGTGGATAAAGAAGAAATTATCTTTTTTATCTAGACCTTGACACAACAATAACAACAATAATAATACTCGCTACATGCAAAGATAGATTTAATTTTACTTTTTTATATCGAATAAAGAGTGAAAAAAATTCAATTCCAATTTAAAACAAACCTTATCTACCTAATCTACGCTTCATTCATTTCATTAATCCTAACCTATACTCTCTCAAACTGTACACATTGCCACAAAATTTTTCCTCCTTATCGTTTATTATCCAACACACGTCCAATCGTAATAGGCAATAAAATCTCTCGAACGTCAACAATAAACGTGAACCGTTCCAAACCTTCGCAGACAAAAATAATCTAAATATCGTCGCGATCCACCAAGCGCGTGGATCGAATCTCGCATAATCGAATTCCATTTCCTCGTCCGTCCATCCCCTCATCTCGTCGAACAATAACATCGAGCTCGACGACGATTAAGCGTCCAGGACGAGGCGGAGGAAAAGCGGAGAAAATCGTGGACTCGATCCCTCGTGGAAGGGGGCGCAAAGCATCTTCGACCCTTAAATCCAATTAACGAGCCACCCTTCGCGTCGAGGCCGATAAATAATCGTGGCCTGCTCTCCCCTCCCGTCCTCCCCCTCCCTTGGGATTAAACGCCGTCAGAATCTGTTCTGCGGCACGAAAGAACGCACGTTTTCGTGTATCCTGTTCCGTTTCAATTTCACGCGATGGATTCTCTCGTCTCGCTTGGTTGTCTCGCGTCTCGAGAGGTTAATAGAAGACTGAAAAAGGAGGGGGGGGGGGAGAGGAGGGATGTTGGATCGAATTTAATGTTTGATTCGAAGAAAGTGGTTACCCTTATTCGAAGGGATATTTTTAAGGGATATATTTGGCCGACTTTGAAAAGAAAGTTGTAAGAAAGTTTTCGCTTTGAAAATTTTTTTTTTTTACGAGTAACTTTCAAAGCGTCGCGAGAATTTTTGGGGAATTTTAAAAATAGAATACAGTAGTAGACCTTTCGTTTTCACTCTTTTTTTTGGAATAAGTTTTAAGAATTTTAAAAATAGCGGACATTTCGTCGTAAGATTTCTTCTCTTCTTTTTCGAGATTTTTCTGATTTTTCTAACTTTCTTCGAAACTTAAAAGCTTCCTTCGAATATCTAATTTTTGATAATAATTTTGATAATTCGAAAAAAAAGGATCGAGTTTTAATTTCTCTAAACTTTCGTCACTCGTTCGATCCATTTATCGATCGTAAACGTATCGAACGAATTTAACAAGAGATACATATACGTACTTAATATTATGAAATAGTTCGGGATATGGCCGATCGTGGACAAAAAAGCGATACACGCACACGTGTGCGCAATTAGTCTATCATCAGGCGCGCGCGCGTATGACTCAAGCCAGATGGAGGGTTGAGCAACGAACTTCTCTCTCTCTCTTTTTCTCTTCGAATCTCATTTATTCTTTTATTACATTACATATTGCCATTACATTTCTTTTTTCCCATTCTACGTATTGTTTCAAACGTATCTTCTGTTAAAAACGTTACTTCTTTTTTTTTTTTTTTTTTTTACATTTTTGCTTTCCCAATTTTTATCAAAATAAAAATAAAAATAAAAATGAAATAAAATTAAAAATAAATTAAAAATCAGACGAAAACATGAAATAATCGAGTTAAGTATATAAAATAGAAATGGTCAAGGTACATAAATCGGTAAAAAAAACGAAAACGGTTATCATGAGATAAAAAGATAGAGATTATATATATCGACTGTATGGATCTTTTGTTGTTCAAGTGGCTGAAAGTGATGAAACGAGTTCAAGCTTTGCTTCGTTGACGTGGCCTGCCAGACGTGCCGCAGCCGCAATATTCTCCATCGCTTGTGTACGAACTCGAGGAATCCGAGGAAGACGAGCACGAGGACGACGATCGTCCTGAAAACGAAATCAATCTTCTTTTTCTCAACTCTTCTCGCGCGTGCGCTCGACAATATCGATCGAGACAATTAAATTAAAATTATTATTTCTCGATTAATTCGTTAATCAGAGGCTAGAAACTTTTCCTGGATACAATTATTAAAAATTATATTTGGAAACAAATATTACGATAAATATTCGATATCAATCTAAAAAACGGAATATCTCGTCTAACATTTTACTAACAATTCCCACGATATATGATTTATACCGATCGAGTCAATTAAATTAGCACAATATCCAGAAAAATTATTACTTCTCGATTAATTCTTTAATCAGAAACTCTTCCGGATAATTGATTATTATAAATTATACGCGAAAAATAAATATTACGATAAATACTCCCATCAGATATCAATCGAAACGTAACATCGAACATTTTACTACTTTAATTCCTATGGTATATGATTTATACCGATCGAGTCAATTGAATTAACGGTATCCAGAAAAATTATTATTTCTCGATTAATTGTTTAATCAGAAACTTTTCCGGATAATTGATTATTAAAAATATTCCCACAAGATATCAATCAAAACGTAATCATCGAACATTTATTACTTTAATTTCGACGGTATACGATTTATACCGATCGAGTCAATTAAATTAACAGGTATTCAGAAAAATTATTATATATTTCTCGATTAATTCTTTAATCGGGGAGGAAGAGATGAGAAACTTTTCCGGATAATTGGCTTCGAACAACCATACACGATTTAGGGGAAAATTTAATGGGGAAACACTCACTCTCGCGTCTTCCAGTAATTTTTTTTCTGGAAGATTTGGCGCTGCTGTTGCACGACGATCTGCTGTTACACGATGTTCTCGACGATTTGTTGGAGGCTCGCCCGTCTCGTTTCCTCTTTCGGCTCGTTCTGCGTTTCGCCCTTCGGGGCAAGCTATCGAATTCGAAACAATCGCATTCTGAACAGTCGCAATCCTCCGAAAGCGACGACTCCGAGGAAGAGGTGTAAGAAGTCGAGGTGTCCGTGCTGTCGGAGTGGTACCTGCCGCTCCGCCGGCGGCAACGAGAACTTCTACACGATTTCTTCGGAGTTGGCCTTCTGCAACTAGATTCAAATTACAATAACAATAATAATAGGTAGAAAAAAAAAAAAAAAAATATTCCAGACCAAGGAATCTCGAAAATTTCTTCTTTCTAACCTCGACTTCGAGGCTTACGGATAAAATTGAATCGAAAATGAATATTATTCGAATTTCTTCGAAACGGGTAACGGCCTTCGACGTAAACAGATCGCGGCGATCTGTTTTTCTCGATTAAAGGTTACGAATTTAAATACAGTAGTAAATAAAAAATAATAATAATAATAATTTTACTCACCTCATTTCTTCTTCTATAGCTGTACGAGTTGTTTGATATAAAATATACAGACCACCTCTTCGACTTTTCCTTCCTTTTATTACCTCATTGTTCGAATATATTTAAACATGTTTAATTATAATATATATATATATAATATTTCTGTTCAATACTCGACGAAATATATGTACATATACATTATAATTAAATTAAAAAACCGAAATTTTTCGCGCGACCAAATACAAAATAATGTTGTCCCGACCCAAAGCTCGAATAATTACCGTTAACAGTAATTCGTATCCTTATATATATATATATATCCAATCGTCACCTTTCTCTATTTCTCAGTTTTTCTGGTTTTATGTTTATCAACAGTGCGTTCAAATTTTAAAAATAAAATTGAAGATGTTGTATATATATATATTAAATTGTTAAATAATAACAAAGAAATAATTCGTTTAATTTAAAAAACATTTTAACTTTATCACATTATTAACGATATCACAATTATCGTGCATAATTCTTCTTCAATCTCTTTCGTATTGATCGACAATTTTCAGTTTCCTCGGTTTATCGACGACATCAAAAACATGAAAACAAATAATAATCGATGATTTATCGTTCAAACACATAACGACAAATAATAATTGTATTAAGAGAAAGAGATTATACGAATGATCTGTTGTTTCAGCAGTTATTTCGTGATAATTACTCGAAATAATCGAAAACGAATTTTTAACTGGCCAAATTTTTCTGAATTCTGGCCAAAAGGGAAGATTTCATCGAGAAGATTCTCGATTACGAATCGTGCAACGCTTCGTAAATGTCGGACACGAGTGCAGGTATCCACCCCTCGTGGCTGACTCACGCCCCTTTCCCCTTAATAAACCCTCGCAACCCCTCGTTTACGCGCCTCGAGAAGTCACCCCTCCGATATCACCTCTGGTGCAGGGATCATCGAACCTCGTGCCTCGTTTGTTCCGCCATTTAACGAAGAAGAGGATCAAGAAATTATTCTATGGTAAATTATTTCCTTTCTTCGATCGAAGGATCTGTCCGAGCGAAGTGAAAAATTTGTAATCTCGAAAATAAATTTTATCTTTGTCAAATTAAAATTATTACAAATGTAAATTGAATTTATTGATAGTTTCTTTTTTTTTAAATAAATTTGAAATAATTTGACGAGATTGATAATTTCGATAAATTTTGGATATTAATTGGATATAAATTATTCGATATTATAATTAATAAAAAAAAACACTTTTTCCAAACCGGGACGAGAAATGAATTTTTCGTGGCTCCTCCAAGCGGCGATGGACGCTGGACGAAAGGCTCGTTAAACGGGACAATATCTTTCGTAATCTCGAAAATAAATTGTGTATACAATATTATTTTTGTCAAATTAAAATTACAAATGTAGATTTAGAAATTAAATTTATCGATAGTTTTTTTCTTTTTTAAATAAATTTGAAATAATTTCGTTAAATTTTGTATTAATTGGATAAGGTATTTTTTTTATAAAAATATATTTTTTTAATTATTGAAAAGTAAAAATGTACAATATCATCAATTACATGTTAATTAATAAAAAATGCTTTTTCGAAAGCAGGACGAGAAATGAATTTTTCGAGTGCCTCAATGGCTCCTCCTAGCGGCGATCCGGTGGACGAAAGGGGGCGAAAGGTTGTGGCAACGTGGTCAACAGGCTATCACAGGTAGCACAATGGAGAGGTAGCCTCGAGACGCGTTAAACGGGACAATGGGAATATGCGTATATCCGGGAGGATCCATTGTCTCATCGATCCTCGATCTGTCACGGCGGGCGGGTGTGAAACGTCAAAACGCGGGGGTGGGGACAAAGGGAGCTCGCCCCTGGGGATGACAACCATCGACCTGTGAATGGACGACGCGTGCCGTTACAATGGGTTCGCCACTCGTTCGCCCGACTCCTCTCCAACTCTTCTCCTCCTCCGTTTCGATTCATTAATTTGAATTTCCCGCTTCGTGAAAAGAATGGAATGCATTTAACGGTGAATTTATTTTGCGTGGAGACGATAAAAAAGATTTTGCAACGTTTTGTTATTCGATATTTTTTTACTTGGTCGGTAAAGAAGAAATAAATAAAATTCGGGAAGGGGAAAAGAATGATTTCGAAGATTTCGAAAAAAATAGCAGGGGGAGGAGAGGACAAGAACAGGGCAAGAAAGAAATGGAGAAAAAAAGGAGGCAGATGTCGGAAGAGCGGAGTGGAAAACCGAGTTGGTTGCAGATGTGAAAATGGGGCGAGATATGATGCATGCCAATTACAGATAGCGCAATAATAAATAACTGGCCAGTTACAGATATCAATTGTCTAATAACCTCGGTTGAAGCTTGTATATCAATTAAACAATTTAATTATAATTTAATATGTTATCGTTTAATTTCCTGCGTAAAAGATATATTATATTCAATTTTCAGTCGTATTTAAAAAATATTTGCACTTTTTTTCCACGATAAGTTGAAACGAGATTTTTTTGTTGCAAAAGGGAATGAAGGAAATTCATTTACGTTCATTAGCATGCCAACAAATCAGAGATTCATTAGCATTCGCGGAAACGCGATTTCGCCAAAAGCGGCAGTCGATTGAAAGACGCGGCCGGAATCCGATTAACGAGAACCCTTTTTCGCCGCCTCCCCCTCTCCCTCTCGCTGATTTTTCAGCACGAACCGTGTGCTCGAATCAGCGGTGGATTCCTGGTGAACGGAGTCCTTTGAGCGTTGAGACGAGCATCAAAGGACTTTCTTATACGCTTACGCGGAACTCGGCAATAGGAAGATGACGTTTATGAGGCGGGCGGTACAACACGACAGCGCGAGCTATCTTTATCTCAAGAGCGGGAGACGTATCCGGTCGTGCCGTGTTCTTTCCACCCTTCTATCGTTCTCATTGATGATGGAATAAAGGATATAACGAAAAACAAATTTATAGGTAAAGTATATAGATATAAAAATATCTGTAGATTCTTTGCAATGTGTAAGAATCGATTGGATTTAAACTTTAAAAAAGAGCGTAAAACTAATTCAGAAATACATTTATGAAGTAAATATATAAGGAGAATAATGAGTAAGAGAAGGACACAGATAGAGTAAAAATTGTGGAATCAGCTCCATCTGCAGAGTGCCGCAAAAGAAACTCGCATAGACAAAGAGGGTAAATAAAACTGATCATTGTCGCCATCTTTTGAATTCGAAAGACACTTCTTCAAAGGTACGATAAGGTAGAATAAGAATTCAGAACTGGTGCCATCTTTTGAGCATTAGAAATAAGCCCTTAATAGGAATAAATTAGAGATGGCGCCAATACTAAATTCTTTCCTACCTTATCTAATGAAGTAATGTCTTTTATCCTCAAGAGATGACACTGGTGATCAATTCCTTTTCTATCTCTATCCTTTTTCCACTATTTCCTGTCCTTTCTTCGTGTGTTTCATTTACGGCACTCTACAGATGGCGCTGATTTCAACATTTTATTCTATCTCTGTCCTTTTCGCACTATGTCGTATTCTTATCTACAATTTATTACCCAATATTTAAGAGATTAAGAGATAACCTTAATTTTAAACTTGCTTCATTCCTTTCCTTCTTTAAGCGAAAAATCTTAATAAAGTTTATTCCATCCAATTTTTATGTCATAAATATAACATATATCTTATATATTATATATATGTATATATATATGTATATATATAATATATATACATCGTATAATATTTAAATTTTTATATATATATATTTTTTTTATTTTTAATATTGTAATATTATATTAATAGAAATATTTTTTGTTTTAGAAATTCCAGTATCAACACAAGGATACAGAAGGTAAGTATAAAGGTAAGTTAAAGGACTAAAAGTAGGACCTTTTAGTCCATTAGATTTAAGTAAAATGTTGAAAAAATGATTAGTTCGTGTAAATATATCTATAGAGAAGGTAAGTATGGAGAAGGTAAGTAAAAAACAGGTAAGTACATTCAATAAAAAATTTCACGTGCCATCTTCTTTTAAATTTTAACTCTGATAAAAAATCGATAAACTAAAAAAATTCTTGGATGTAGAAATTTTAAAAAATTTAATATGTTACCTCTTATAGGATTATATTTTCCTAATACAAAATCGAAAATTTTGCAAAAATTTTCAATAGCAGAAATTTCAATTTCAATTATTAAGAGAACATGATTAGTAAAGAGGTAGCACGACAAATTTTCAAAGAAATTTGAAATCAGAAATTTTTGGCAGATTTTTGACTTTTCATTAGGAGAATAAAATTTTAAAAGAGGTGGCACGCAAAATTTTTAGTAAGAGTGTTAGTACGTCAATTTCTGGCTAAATTTTTGACTTTTCATTAGAAGAATATAACTCTAGAGGAGGTGGCACAAAATTTTTTGAAAAACTCTTAGCTTGGCAAATTCTGGCTAAAATTTCGACTTTTCATTAGGAGAATATAATTCTAGAGGAGGA